AAATTTCTGTTATAACGAAGTCCAAGTTACTAGTTAGAGTAAAATAAACTGTAAAAGAAAGTACATATGTTTTTGATCAAACACAACAGAATCCAATGTAGTTTTTCAAGCTCTTTCTAATGGTGAAGTCAATTTTACCCCAAAATGTCGTCATTTTCCCCTTAATCGCTTTTACGACGAAATTTCGTGTTTTATATGCCGATCGGGATACTACTTTTTTTCTATATCCCGATCAGGATATAGGAGGTGTCCCCTTACTGACAGACATAGTTGCTAACCTAGAATTCTATAGAATTCTATATATTTCCGCTTGAATCAAACTTGGTCAATAAAAAGTATATCTATGCTAACGTAGAATTCAATAGAATTCTATACATTTCCGCTTGTCTCCCACTCGGCTAATGTATTGTATATGTGTACTAAGGTAGAATTCTATAGAATTCTACGTTAGTAGAGATACATTTATTACTGACCAAGTTTGAGTCAAGCGAAAATGCATAGAATTCTATAGAAATCTACGTTAGTAGAGACATAGTTGCTAACCTAGAATTCTATAGAATTCTACCTTACTACACAATTCTATGGAATTCTGTAGAATAGCTGAATTGCAGGAACTCTGACATCCCCCTATTTTTAGGACAAAATCATTCTTGTCTTTCACCCTATACTTATCAGTCTGATAAAACTGTAGTAACTAGTAGTTGCAGCGGATGATTAATACATACTGGCCGAGACAAACAGGTGACAGATTGAAAAAAATGAGGACTAAAAAAGGTTCCTTGCTCTGCAGGTGTTGGAAAAGGACATTAAAATTAGGAATAATCAACCTTTTTCTGAAAAAATATAGCACGAACACTGCTCGTTCTATGTTTCGATGTGTTAATATCAACTGGTGCGACGAACATCCCTAGCAAACACACAAATCTTTCGAGGATGATTACTACCCATCATAAGGAATATGTAGTCTCTGACTTACATTGAACTGTCAGTGTTTCACCACTACGTTTTGGTAGATACACAGGTATCAAGGCTAAAACAATAGTTGCAACTAATAGCAAACCCAGTATCCCGAGACAGCATAAAGCAATTAATGGAACTTTCGAAAACCAACGACGATTTTTTCTAGAAGAAATTACAATATTAATTACTTAATCCCCGCTAACGAGTTACATACGTTGCAGTTGATGATGGCTGCGCAGCAGGGACTGTCTCAGCTGGTGGGTTCAAATAATGCATTCTCCAGTAGTATTTTATACACGTTTCCTGAAAGTTGATTATTTATCCGATAAGAAATTACTATTAAAAGAGTCGACGAATTTTTGCTTTCTATTTGAATAATAGTTTTATAAACTACTCCTGCTGAAATCGGATACACTCGTAGCTTTTATTAGGCGATCGGAGAGTGATTTATAGATCGCATATCATGCGTATTATCGTTTTTTTCTCATTTTTTGTAGATGAGCATTGCTGTTTCATAATAGAGACACTGTCAAAATTGTTACCACGTGAATCGTTTGAAACGCTTTCTATGTCGATACCTTTATTCACAAAAACGAAAAAAGAAAAGTGAGAACAGATAGAGAGTGAACAAGAGATTTTTTACCTAGATAAAAGTAGAGAACGGAAAAGAATCAATGATACGATGTTGATTTAAGACATATAGAGTCTCATCTTCTAATTTCGACAATAAGCTTTTAGGTGTCTTATGTCGTGTTTTTGTCAGTTAATTGTTAAAACTTTTTATACTACTTTAGTCAGTCAGTAACCAGCTAAAATTCCACCAGTAGATAATAATTTTAACTTTCGGTTAGCGTTCACATCGTATTTTATAAACGTCTATTAAAATGTCATGTGTTTCAAGCGAAGTGTCGAGTTAAGGAAGAAGATATAATTTCGATACACATATAAGTATATTCATGTGCTCCAGTCAAAAAAAAAATATGTGGCTCGATTCGGCGTAGTCTACTGAGTAATCCTACACGAAATTGAGAAGATTCTGATCAACTTGGTCTGATCAAAAACATATATACTTTTCTTTTACAGTTTATTCTACTCTAACTAGTAACTTGGACTTCCTTATAACAGAAATTTTTCTATGTAAAGAATAAGGAAACAACAAATTTTATGTTTCTTTTCAACGAACATGGTAGGACTGTAGTTAGCATAATTCATGACATTTAGTGGCAGTTTTTCTTGAGATTTGCCAAGAGCTCTCAATGTGCTTGATCTAACGTTCAATGAAAAAG